CTGCCAGCCTGTGACAAATGTGCATGGGTCTGTGGAGACTTACAGGTTGTCGTGTTCAGCTTTTAGTAAATAAAATACGTTGTAGCAAAGTATGGGCCAAAAAAAAACCTTAAGGGAAAATGAGTCTGTTCAGTCAGTCTCTACCAACATCATTTTCAGCTGTGTATTCACTATTTTATCCCAAGGTGATGCCATCCTGTTGGAAGAGCGCTGTTGTGGTAATTAGTCACCACATGCCCAGGGTAATCAGTGTATCACTACGTGGCAACTGCTACTTCAATGTGTTTTCTTCCATCATATTTACAAGAAGCAAAACTATCTTTAAAGTTCAGTTTTTGACATTTAACAATGGAAACTCCCATCTGGCATAAAACTGGTTTCCAGTGGTTTCACTGCACTGTGTGCCTGAAATTACAAGTGCAGCGTTGCCTTAGTTTTCCAGGATACTCACACAGCAGCAGCATTAAGGGAGTGGAACAAGTATCAGTTATCCATGTTAAGTGCTCTTTACACAAAACTGTTATTAGGAAACTAATGTAACCTAGCAGAAGCCTAGGTGTTAACTTTTAGACAAGTTATGGTGGCAGGCTCAGCTTTTTACTGGAAATTCTTCTGAGTGTATTTAGCTGAGCTTTTCTGTTCATGACAATATATAAGGAAAGCTTAGTTTGGCTGCCTTATTGCTTGTAAGTGGAAGGATAAGCTGCTAAATCTCTCATTTGAGTACTCATGTATTTGAATTTTGTCAGTCTTTAAACTGGACAGCTTTCTTTAATAATCATTAAAGTGAAGGATATTTCTCTAAGGCTTAGAGTAGCTGAGCTAATAATTAATAGCTACTAAATGAAAGCCAATTCAAATACCTGATGATAAGTGGCTAACACTGTATGGACTTGAAGGTGTTAAGCTGTCTTTGGAACTGCTTAGTAAGAAACTACATGTATGAATCTCAGCCTTGCTAACACTTTTGTCAGGCAGTATTTCCAGTCTCTTCACATCAGATGCCTTGACACCCTGATCAGTATCAAGAAAATGTTACATGTTTACCCATCCATGTACCTCCAACCCACAAACAGTAACCTGAGTTGTTTGGTTTTGGGGTTTTTGTCACTCACCTGTATGTAAAATCGGGGTTGGTATTGTTACTTTCCTTGCTCTTCTAGTAAAATGTTAACCCAGTGCATTTTCTGAGCATGGGCAGTTCGGGAGTGACATGGATGTGCAGTAGGTTTTTGGAGGGCAGAATGACAGCTAGCATATGATTCTTCTACCTATTGCTCTTCAGTCCTGCATCAAAGCAAGAAGATAGTCTGTAGAATGTGCTTTGTGTTTGTCTTTACTAGTGCTCCAGAAAGGGAGCATTGCTCAGGTTCATATGAAGCAGTATGCCCATTGTCCAACTTCCTTGGACCTAACACCGTCTACTCAGAGTCTTCTGCTTCATTCCTGCTTGGTGTTTGTACCATTCATTTATCCTGTAGACATGTGAAAGGGCCATGAGAATGCTTTTGGGTATGTCAAGCTAATGAGCTGGGCAGGCAATGGAGAAATCTGTTCCTTAAATGATTAAAAACTCTGCTAAGCAATTGCTGGTTTATGGCTGCTTGGCAGAACACCACACAGGGACAGACATGTAGCTACCTACCTCATTCTCAACTCTCTTTAATAACCTTCTCTGTGGATTTTTAACAGTTTCCAAGGCAACTGGAAACAGAAACATCTCTGTAAAGCAGAGCTTCCTAGAACTCTCCACTTCAAGTGGTACACATAGCAATTACAGCTTTCTCTTCATCACTGAGTTTTCACCAGATTTTTAAAAGATCTGCAACTAAATTTGTCCCGTCATTGGCTTTGAGATTTTCTTCCCTAAAAATATAAAATGGTGGTGGCAAACATTATTTTGACTTCTTGAGGAGATGTGGAAAGATACCATAAGCCTTCCCTCCTGAAATGCTAATTATGAGCAGCCCATCTGCCAGAGCTGCTTCCATAAGCTAAGCAGTAGGGTCCACAATGAAACAATTACAGAAATACAGAGAAACCTAGTTTGCAGCTGTTGTTTGAGCAAGGTCTACCATGAGATATATCGCACCATGTGAGACAGCAGTACAGAAGAGAGTGAAGTTTTTTCCCTTCTCTTCTGTGGACATAGGACTGCATTTTTATAGAGCATTCAAGAAAGAAATGTCTTTTTTCTCTATTAACCTGCCCATAGAAAAGCCAGCTGCAGCCAGTTTAGCAAAAGACAGTTATACCCACTGAATTATACCCACTAAGGCAATACTTTTGCCAAAACCAGTGCAAGTAAGGTCAGTTGTCCCTATAAACTTGAAAACAGCAAATTAAGTTTAAGAATGTCTAGTTATGAAGGCCTGGATTTATAGGAAAACAAGAATAAATGCATGAAAAAAAAGACAGCTCTACAGAAATTGTGTAGTGTGTTAAATCTGCAAAGTTATATTTTCTAGACTACTGTTCTGCTGTACTGATTTATTAGACTAGAGGTACAAAATGTTTAAGGCTGTTTCATAGTAACAACCACGGTTTTGTCCTTGAAGAAACTGGAACCTCAAGCCTAAATGAAACGGGTTTGAAATATTTCACTTGTATGCTGTCTACTACTTTTGACTTTCTGTGTGTGAGCTTGGCCTAGACAGCTTCTCTGTGTCTCTGCTTTAGAGGTATTGAAGGTATTCTTTCAGCATTATCTTTATATGAAAAAGGAACTTAGGATGAAATAAGAAAGTAAACCCCCTAAAGCATGATAAAAGAGAATAATGAAGAGATTATAGGTTTAGATATAATATATGCATATAGCATATACATATAATACATATATATACACATACATATACTTTAATTAGTAGCCTAGATTCTTAGATTTTTAAATTCTTCAGATATAAGTTTGAGTGGTCAGGTGATTCATCCTTTAAGGTAAAAGCATATCTGTAGTATGACATTCTCAGATCACTCCCTACCACTGGTAAAATCTCCAAAACACGCCTATTAATGGGCAAGCAGAAGTAAAAAAAAGTAATAAAAGTAAAAGTAATAAAACTGTGCTATCAGAGTTATGATGTAAAATGTGCTATTTTAGGAATTGAACAGATGAGGTGACAGCCAGAGGCACCTGTGAAAAGCTGCAGTAATTAAAAAGGGGTCAGTCTGGGAAGTTGTTCAGTTAAACAGGTGGCTTCCTTGGAGTAAAAGGAGTGTCTCTCTCCTCCATCTTTTTTATTTTGGATGAGGAGCATGGCTCAGTTGCTGAAATAATTTCATCTAGTGTGATTTTAGGTGCTGTAGGCTGTCGGCTGGGGTACAGAATGATGCAGGTCTCCATAGGTCCCCTGTCAGGATGTCTCAGATTCCTGGATATGTGAGTTGGGCTTAGCAAAGGAGTTCTACCAAAGGTCTGTGTTTCAGCTTCTAGAAACATTCACTGGTGGTCTCCGCCTCACCAGCAATTTACCTTCTAATGGCCATGAGAACAGCTGGGAGAAAACAGACAAAAATCCAAAGGAGTAAGAGAGAATAGGGAAAACCTTAACAAAAGATAGGAGACAACATTTGGAACAAGGTGTAGGAAGGAGTTCATTGTGAGACTCATTACCAGACTTTCAAAAGTGTGCAGATGCTTCCCAGCAGTTACCACCATGACATTGGCTCCAGGGGAACAGAAATGTTCTCCTTCTGGGAGAACAGGGATGTGCCTTCACTTGATTTGACCTTGGAAACCCTTGGTTTAGGCCCTTATATTTCTGCAATGAGAAGGAGAATGTTTCTTATTTAAATATTGTATTTTATGCTGTTATAAGTACATACTGGCATAATAATGACAGTCTGATTGAAGGAAGTTCATTTTTCTACACATTTTACAAAAATAACATTTGTTCTTTTAAATATTTACTTCATAATGTCCTTGGCCATTTTATTTTTACTATATTGGAGTTTTATCTTAGGCTGAAAATAACTTAAATTCAAATTATAATGTCTTTATTGAGTCACATGAGTCAAAGAATTGTATTTGACATTTCTTCATTAATTCTCTTGAGAAACAGATTTGAATTTTTTTTTTCAGTTTTGGAATTACTATGGCTTGTGTCAATTATATAATGTGTCAAACATTTAAAAGAGATATTTTCTTTCCAAAAAGAAGTTGTTTTCATTGCTTTTCCTTTAAGGAGGCACATGTTGGCAAAACATAAGTCAGCTGCACTCCTAATGTTCTCTGGAGGTCAGTTTTAAAAAAATATATTAAAATTAGCATACTTTGATTGAGGTCTCCTTGTCTATTCTATTCTTATTCTATCTACTCCTTAGAACATTCCCTTTTGAGTTTTCTCATTCTTTGTCAAATGTGTGATGATGAACTGGTGTTGGATGATGATCATGATCATTGTACAGCCTGAGTTTCAAAATTATGTTTTGGCAATTCTGTCCAAGGAACAAAACTTGTCTGGAGATGAAGAAATAGATGATGATGATGATGAGGAAGAAGAAACAGAAGAAGAAGAAGAAAAAGAAGAAGAAGAAGAAAAAGAAGAAGAAACAGAAGAAGAAGAAGAAGAAACAGAAGAAGAAGAAGAAAAAGAAGAAGAAGAAGAAAAAGAAGAAGAAACAGTAGAAGTAAAAGGAAAAGAAGAAACAGAAGGAGATAAAGCAAAAGAAGGAACAGAGAAAGAAGAGGAAAAAAAAGGAAAAGAAAAGGATCGTAAACCACCTGAGGGAGAGACAAGCAGTAGTAGTAGCACTTTGGAATCTGGAGAGGTAAAGGCCTATTAAGTTACTGATCTCTAAAAGAATTTGGTTCTATAACTAACTTCAGTTTGATATGTGTGTAGCTATCCTATAAATGCAAAGTAGTTGTTTGGGGTGGCTTTGGTAGCGGGAGAAGCACATGTAGGTATTAAGTTAAGCATCTTTTTTTTAAACAATTCTGAAAGAGGTTTTTGGTTTGTTTGTTTTGTTTTGTTTTTTGTCTGTAGACAGAGGAAACTACTCAGAAAGAGCCCATCGTTCAGCAGGGTAAGAATACAACTCCTAAGAATTGGACATTCTAAAGACAGATAAAAGTTTTGTAAACAATATTATAAAAATACTGGACAACACAGTTCTTGTTCATAGTTAGTAAAGCAGTTGTTGAGAGGTAATGAACTTTGAGTGGCAAACCCCCATTATTAATTGTTAATGATTTGAAAGAAATAAATACTTTTCCCAGTTACGTTCTGGAGGAAGTGCACAAGAAGGACTTTGTCTTAGCAAGACTGCATCCTGCTAAGAGCAGTCCTGGCTGTGCAGTGCCAAAGTCATTGTAATTTTATTATCTCTCAGGCAACTTCTTTAGGTACCCTGTGCCCCACTTCAGTCAAAAAGCTTCTCAGAATTCTTCCCCCATCTTTTTCAGCTGACATTTCCTCATTCCATTCATAAAGAGATTATTTTAGGTGAAATGTGATAATTGTTGAACACTGCTCAGGATCATGAAGGTGTAAGTAAAGAATCTCCTTGCAGTTTTGATGGCAGTTTATGAGAATGTATACCCTTAGAAAAGCTGGAGAACATGAAGTTGGGTGCCCTATATGTGTAGGACTTCTTTTATTTTAGAAATTTTGCAATAATCTAGAATGGTTCTCTTGAAAAAAAATAACAAGTGTGGTATAAAACAGACCACAGCCGTTATAATGAAGAAGCTATGCCATTTATTTTCAATATTATAATGAAAATAACTTGTGCAGAAGGGATGCTTAAATATTTTTCCATTACCCAGATGATCTGGAAGTTTTGATATTAAGTTTGAAATTGATATGATTCATACAGGGAGTATAGGAAAATTTAAACACAGAAACATCAACTGAGATGGAAAATCTTTCCTTTCCCAGAATTGAATTTATTCTATGGAATAAAATTCATGCTGAACTGTAACTCCTGCCCTAAAAGACAGCTTTACCAATTAGAATATACTTGCAAGTAAGTGTGCAAGACATTGTCTCCTGTCAGCAAGAGGAAACTGTGAGTGTCAAGTAAAAATATTTTATATATTGTCACTGCCATTAGTGTTCTGTTCTTAAGAATTGAGCATCTGGAGAGTAATATCAGGACATTACATGGAGAGATTAAAAGATAAAAATAGTCTATTCAGGCTGGGCATCAAGTTTTACTGAATATTCCAATTGATTTTAAGTTTTATTTAGTGACCTTTACTTCAAAAATAATCTGAAATTTTTTCTGCCTTTCTGTGATATTTTTCTGATTCACATAAATCAGAAGAAAGTTAATATAAACGTTTGTATTATTGTAGAGGAGGAAAGCACTGACAATCACACTGTGAAGAATTCGTCAGAGAACACTGATGACCAAAAAAATGGAGGAACTGTGGGGAGAATAAAGGTTTGTGGCCTGATGGTTCTTTCTAGCTTTGCCAGTGACCAAGAAGCCAGTGGGCAGTTACCAAAGCAAACACATCAACTGGCATGAACTGCATAATTAAACTGCTGAGAAACCTATTCCTTCTGTTTAAGACTTGATTTTATTTTTTGGTAAAATAACTTGAAGTTGTCAAAATAATAGAAATTAGTTAAAACCCTTTATGACCTCTTCATGGACGGCATGTCCCTGAAAGAGAGATTGTTTATCACATCACGTACTGGTGAGGTGAAAACTTAGGACTTCATTCCAATGGGACATTATCTATAAGGATTTCCCCCCCATTTGTCTCTGAAAGCAGCATCTGAGCTCATTGATCATGCATTTATTTGCAACATGCACTGATTTTGTGATCATAGATATCTCTCTAGATAGGTGTATGAGCATGTTGAGGAGTACCTGATATGGAATTTCTTACAGGTTTTAGGATCCAGAGGCTTCTGCAGAGGCTGCTGAGTTTCCTCCTGAGTTGACCAAAGACCCTAAGCATCAGTTAACTGACACGCGTGTGGTCTCACTGAGCACAAGCACTGTCACTAATGGCAGTACACATCTTTATCAGGAGCATAGTAAGCACTTACTGCTCTGGGGCTTTATTTTTGGACCTTGCCTCAGGCTCTTATTTGAAAGAAACCCAAATAAATGCACCACGTACAGCATTTTGTACAAACTGTACAATGTGTAATTTGACAAAATGCAACCACTTTAACTTTTCTGATTTCCATGTGCTATTTTACAACATTTCAAATATTGCAAATGTTTCTGGTTAACATTTTTTAGTCATTTTGTTTGGAAAAAAAAATCATTTTACCGAGGAGAAATCTGCCAACCTCGTTTAATTTTGATATATACAAAGGGGTTTGTGTTTTTTTTTTTTTTTAATCTTGAATTTCACTGCTGTTTCTGTCATATTCTTTACCTGTTTTTTTCACTTCAGTTTTCCCTGTTTAAGAGAAAACCACTGACAAGCCAGAAGACTGAATGTAGTGGAAAGGAAGACAGCCCTGAAAAGCCATTGCAGAGTGAAGAAAAAGAAAAGGAAGATTTATCTGGTGAAGACAGTAAGGATGAAAATCAGAATCATACACCAGAGAATTCCAGTGAAACTGCAACTAACCAGAACAGAAGGGTGAAAGTTAATACATGTGTATTGCTGTAACACTGTTACAATATATGAGAATGTGACAGTCTTAAAGCACATAAGTACAATTTTTACTTGAAAACATTTCAAGTTATGACTTGAGATGTTGATGGCTGCTTTTGTTTTTATTGATTTGATTGCTGTAATTTTAAATAGGCAGATGATTTTTTTGGTATTTATTGGTAATTTTAATAGTTCAAAATGATGTGCTTATCAGCACTTTGCTGGAGTTTGGTGGCCTTACCTGTTGATGTTCTAAAGCAAAATATGGGTTTTTTTAAATGTGAAAATTGAATACAGGAATTTTATGGGTTTTTGCTAAATAAGTTTATTGTTTCTGTCTACGGAGTACCACTTCCAGCATGATACTCTTGCAAAATTATAATATTTGATGTAAGATATTATTTGGTTTAACAACCTAGTTAAGAATATTGAAGGTACTCACTTACTTGGAAGTATACATGTTTCTTTCTGTTTTGACATAGAAAAAATAGCAGTAAAACTTTCAAGTTAACTTGTAGGCCATTATTGAAGAAGTTACTTGAGTATGTGCCTAATTTCATGCATGGCACCAGACCCAGTGGAAACAGTGTAAGTATAGAAATACCCTGCCAAACTGTGACAGGGAGAAAGCTTTTATTTCTGAGAGGTGCTGAAAACCTTTGCTCCTGCTGAAATTGGCAGAAGCTGATGGGCCTCTCCTCATTGAATCAGACCCAGTAAAAACTGGACACTCTCACTCTTGCTTCACTTGGATTCTAATCATGTATTCTCTGAACATTCACACCTTAATGAGTCTCCAGTGAAGCTTTTCTTATAGGAAAATAATGCAGCCAGAGGTACTGTAACTTCAGTATGACAAACTGATCTTTATGGGATAAATATTCATCTTTTTCTCAGGCAGAGTCACTTTTCTTCAGATGGCCACTTAGCAGGAGGAGCCAGAAATCAGTACAAATGACTGGTTAACACCACTGTAGCATTAAGAAGCAGGAATTCTTTATTCAGCAGATGCTCAAGGGGATATCTCCTCCAAAATAATGTGCAGGCTGAGTACAGAAAAAGCTCCTGTTTATATATTATATTTCACATACATAGTCATTGATTTTCCCATGGCAAGCATACACGTGATAAATAATTTCCGTGAAATCATTAATATCTTTTCCCTTCCCTTTACATGCATTCTTCTGTCCTGGAGGTCTCTTTGCTGGTCCCTGGTGGTTGGTGACCCCAAGTCATCCCTGACCACACAGTGAACTGGTAAAAGGTGGGACAACTGGGCTGGTCGCTTTCCAGTTCTTCCTTCATTTTTTGCTAGTTTCAAAGTTGCTTAATTTTTATATAATAGGTCAGAAGTGTCCAGAGTTGATTTCATCCAGAGCTGGTTCACCTGAATGCTTTGTCCTTGTAAGTATAGCAGGTGCCCAGATTCTTTCACAGGGCCTCCTCTGCTATCATAATCATCATACTAAAAAGCTGGATGCTTGGGTCATTCTTTGCCAGAGTTAATTAGGATCCATTTGTGTCTTTTGTTTTCCTTTGGGCTACTCCTCGGTTCTGCAGTGAACCTTACATGAGGGGGTTTTCTCCTCCATTATATTTATCTATTTTCTTATTTTTCTGAATGCCACATGTTCTACTTGGATACTGTTAAGAAGAGTGAAGTGGAAAAGGAGAAATAAAGTAAATGGCTCTCTCATTAATTTAAATAAGTTTAATTATTTTTTTAAGGGGAGATCAGTGAGAAATTTTTACTGTAAGGACAATTTCTTTTTTTAAAGGTGAACAAATCTAGTGAGAAATAGTACTTTAAAATGGGAATCACCCTCTAATCTAACACTACAGAAGTTTATGTAATGGACTGTAAACTGCTGTATGTCTGATCAGTTTCAGGGATAGGTACATTTATCTTGTTCACACACTATGCTCAACAAGAAGCAGGAACATATTAACCCATTCCAATGTCTTTTTTACATGTCTTCATTTTTAATAAAAAAGATTAAACAAATAAAACAATTTACATGTGTACGTGTATTAACTTATAGGGTGTTTTAACAAGTTCACAAGGTTTATGACAAAAATTAGAAGACTTTTTATTACTGAAATATTTTCATGAACTGATGAGTAGCAAAAAAATCTAGAAACATTTATAGTACATCTTTCTCTGTTTTCTTCTTACTTTCCCAAAGATTAAGTGTATCAGCTTAAGCTGATATTTTTCATTTTCATAGTCCTGCCATACAACTGAGATTGTGCTTTAGAACTGTTTGGTTTCTAAAATTTCACCACTGAACCTATCACTAGGTGGAGTTTGTGCTCTTCGAAGGTGTAGCCAGCCCCTAGAGCCAGAAATTCTCCTTCTCATGGCCCCTGAAAGAAGTTAAAGATACTCATTCTGTATCATATTTTCTGTTTCCAAATTCTCAGAAAACTTTATGTTTTCTGGCATATTGCTTTTGGCATTAAAGTACTCTGGTACCTTGGTGTATTTATATAGTGCATTTTGAAAGTTCTATACTGTGTGTACTTGTAAAAATATAAAGATAAAAAAAATACAATTACTCATTTATTTCTAGGTATACAGTGTTCAAGTTCTGATAAATAAATGGAAGCCTAGATATATATGTTTGATTTAAATTGAAATGCTGTTAGTGTGCCTTGCATAGACAGATATATATGTATGTGCACTGAGACATACATGTGTGTATTTATAGACAGACATATGTACAGACTTGTGTATGTGTGCACGTGGATGATCAAATGTGTGCCTGACCTCCTGAAATTTCAGTTTAATCCATATATTTACACATGCAATTTTACTGATTTCCATTTATGCAGCTGCTGTTCCTATGCAAGTTTGTGGTGATTGAAATTTATAAAGGAGAGGACATGCTGTTTAGACACTATTTTATACACCCAAAGTTAATAATCATAGTCATAATTAACTTTGTGCAACTTTTTCCTTTTTCTTCCAGGTATTACTTGTACAATATGCAAAATACATCCAGTCTTTGTCCCTGAGGAATATTTTAAGTCATGCTGTTGACATTAGGGTAGTTGAAGTAAACTGAATTCATATCATGATGCTAAACCACTGTAAGTCCTGATAATCAAGAATACAGAAGCTAATCCTGCATGACTGTTGAGAGACTAAGTATGGGTTCACTTAAAATGTACTCAAACTACTTTAGCTCTTTAAAATATAAATATACCATCTCTAAATTCCCTCACAGTGCTTTTAGGAGCTATTTATACTACTTTTAGGAGTTATTTATACTACTCACTATGTAGAGGAGTTACAACATTTTCACTCTCTGTTATGTCTAAATTCCTTTAAGGACCTAAACAATGTTTTCATTAAGTGTAATGAGACCACCATCAGCAGCGAGAATTGGAGATATAAATGTTTTGGTAGTAATTCTGCTTTGCTCAGTATCTCATAGTGATGAGCTCTAAAGTTAACACCTATTTGCCTTTCAAGACTGTTTTGGAATTACATTTTATTCATGCTATGTAATTAACACTTTCTTTTTCAGGACCAGATTGTAATGGCTCAGCAAAAGCCTAAAAGCCTCGTAAAATCTAAATCTGGCTAACCTGTAGTTATTTGTACACAAAGAAGTCTTTTTTTTTCCAAGACCATTTTCATTTAATGTCAAAACTGTTTAGACACAGCTGTTTCCAATCACACTCATCAAAAACTGAAGAGATATTAACAGTTAGAATTTTAAGGGATGTTAGGAGCATCAAAAAAAAAAAAAAAAAAAGTTTGTTCTTTGGTATATCTGTTAAACATGAGATCATGTTTAATCTGCTGATTTACCACATACTGATGCATTAGTCAGTATCTAACTGGGAATGCAGTATTGTCTTCCCCACAGAATTTTCTGTTTTGCTGGCTGCCCAAGACACACCAACCCTGCCAGATGGAATGGAAAAAGGCAACTGGTGTTCTCCAAGACTTGCTACGCGTGTACTCCATGGGTGTGCCTGACCCAGACTTTCAGGGTGAAGTTTTCCACAGCAAGGGTTTTGGCAGTGGAGAGACTGAGGGAATCCAAATTTGACCCTCACCATGTCCTTTGTGCCATTGCTGGGAGGAAGGGCATGAGGCCACCTTTAACTGAGAAAAGCCCAGGAGATTTCTTCCGATCACTGGCATAGGGAGCAGGAAAGTGCTCAGGGATGGGACACACAGCCAGAGGCTGCTGCCCTGCAGAACATTTCATTTCCCTAAAATACACTATTTTTACAGTCAGGGCAGTATCTTATATTTTTGACAAGGAGTGTCCCATTGAGGTTTAGGTGTGACCTAGGAAAGAAAGTTATTGGGATATAACTTAAGTTTATTATTTCACACAAGAAACTATGTGATCATCATCTCTGTTATTTAAGCTTCCAGAACAAGAATTTCAATTGATGTACCTCTTACCAACATTTTCAGCCAATGCTGTCCTCTCATAAGCTGGCCTCTACTGTTTCTTTCCATTCATTTAAGGAAAAGCAGCTTTCTGTTAGCAAACATTAATATATCACTTAAAAATGCAAAATGAGCCCAGTGCCTCTGACAGACATGCGCAGGGTAGATGCCTTTTGAAAACTGCAAGTGTTGCTGCCATTAAGCATCATGAGAATGTAATAATCAGCTCCAAGAATTCTAGGAATTATACAGAAGAAATGCATTATTCTGATTATTATATTTTAAGACTGCCTATTTCTGCAGATATTTACAAGAGCAATTCTAAGTATCAGAGTATTTGCATTCAGCCAGGCAATTCACCAGGCTAAAATTATGTGGTTTGGATTGGGGCCCTATTTGTCATTCTCTTATGATTAACTAGACCTTATTCAGGGATTTCAAAACTTCATTACACACAGATAGATTGTTTAGGTATTGTTTTTATTTCCTTACCATTCTTTTACTATTTGGAGAAAAATTACCAGATTGTTAAACATTTTTACAATTTAATTAATTTCACCTCTCCATCAAAAGCTGTATTTTTATTATCACTGTAACTGCAGTTGTTACAGCTACTCTGGCACAGCACAATAAAATTATACTTCTGCTATTAAAAAAGCAGAAAAGAAAAATTATGTTTTTATATTAACTTTTTGACATAACAAGAATTTTTTTTAAGTCTCCAAGAGCACTTAACTTTGCTTTTGGCTTTATTTTTCTGTTCAACCAAGACATTTTCACACATTTTAGTCCTCTAGTATTGCTTAATT